TATTTCCTTTAATGAAGTGCCTTACATTGAAACAATACAATCAACAACACCCAAGGTATCTCCTCATTGTAGGCAAAATAATTATCCATGGGAAGTTCTCAGCTGTCAGTAAAATCCCCCGCCTGCCGCTGGAATATCAAAGGTGCAAAGTGAGTCGACACTCACCTTGAGACCGCGGCCACTCCGGCGGCAGAAACGTGCTGGTCTTTCCGTTTGCGTCCTTCTTTTTGGTATCACTTTCGAACCGAGGAGATCTAGACCGTGAGCCGAAGCCCTGTAGAGAGGGAATACAGTCACGATGTCGATCAACTGAGTGCGCGGAACAGAATTCCAAGATTAGGCCTTGCTCGTACTCAGCTGGAAAAAAAAAAAAAGAAATCTGGAGTATCTGCATAATGAACTAGGGGGAAAAAATCTAAAGTCAGGAAAATAAATATGCAGGACCGGTGCCTATTGACGTGTGTATGGAGATAAGCAGACGGCCAGATCGCTTTTGAGATTCCGGGTTGTTTTTTTTTTTGAAGAGGGAAGTTCCGCCTCTCCAGCCCGCTCTCCTCCTGTGACTCTTCAGGCATGGCTGACCTGAGCAGGCCTTATGCAAACGAAAGGTCTATATTATTGTTGGGGTTGGTGTTCAGCAGACCGTTGCCTCTCTTTGACTGTTTGGATTAAAGCGCCTGTCACAGACCTGACAACAGTTATCAAACCTGTCCGCCGCAGGCTGACTGTCAGAGATAGGATGGTCAAATGCTCAGCGCGCTCGACAATCAAGCCGTTTGCGTGGGGTTGGAAGGGCTGCAGAAGAAACCTGTCAAGTGCGAAATGAGGCTGAAGTCGCCCCCAGCCCTTCAGCACGATGATCCAATTATCAAGCCCCACTCACATCCTCCCAGACTGAATTTCCCCCCTTCTCCCTTTTATTCCCTTTTCTTTTTTCTTCGCCTTCCTCTCTCAGAATCAATTTTCCCATTGTAGCTCCGAGGCTGGCGGAGGAGCAGGAGGGGAGAGAGAGAGAGAGAGAAGGGGCGAATGAAGAGAGGAAGGGATGTCCTCCAGAAGCCGACGCGTTTAAGGGAAGGTCTCGAGATGCGATTACGTTTTCCGGCTTTTGCTTTATTGAATTTATCCGTTTGTTTCGTTGAGGGGATGTCTGTTTCTAAAACGTGTGCCATCGGACTGCCAAGGCGGGGTCTGTCCATGCAGTCGCATGGGTCCTGGCGCTAGACTTGCTCACTGTGTGCCCTGGGCTCAGGCTGGGTTTGAACTGGTAGTCTTTTTCTTGCAGGCTACAGGCACTCTGCTTTCTTCATAGGCAACGTTTTCCCTCACTCCCTCTGTCCCAGCTGGTTCCCAGGCCAATTCTAGACTCACGTGACAGGTTGAGTAGTTCAGCTTAGGGCAGTAGCTGTGGCACTTACTTTGAACGATGCTTTTAACTAGAATGCATCACGCACACCAACGTAGCTCACTGTGGCGCAGAACAGATAGGCAGACTAAATCTGTAGGTAGGGAGATAGACGCGTCATCCCCACAGACGCTCCCACAGGAAGCCTTTACAAGGGCTCTTCTGCATCATGTTTCCCGCAGAGCAGATAACAGAGTGTCCCCTGGGGAACAGGCTGCTCCACTGGAGCAGGAGCCTTTTCCATGTTTCCAAGACACACAGCCCGCTTCTCCCCCCAGGCTCTTCCCCAGCACGGGACACTCCGGCTGTCCTCCTCTGTGACCCCGGACCGCGGGACTCGGACCTCACTGCTCATGAGGAACTGGCAGGTTTTGGGAATTTTCGGTGGATTTTTCTCACATAGAAAATGAAAGCAAAAATCCTACATGTTACCAAATCAAGAAAACGCATTTGGCCCACATATATATGGTCATGATTGTGATGTTATTGTATGTGTAACTTGCTCATTCCTGTTTTTTTAAAGAACGCGCATAGGTAAACTAAACTAGCCAACATCATATGTAGCGAAGCACGTTAGCTGGACAATCCTGATTCACTGGTCGGTCCAGAGGCATCCAGCTGCTGCTTGACTCACAATGATGAGGACTACAGGATAGTCATCATAGCACCTGTCTACCTGCAGTCTGAACAGTCACTGCCCTACCTGTCTACCTGCTGTCTGAATAATCATTACAGTACCTGTCTATCTCTCTACCTGCAATCTGAACAGTCACTTCCCTGTCTTCCTGCTGTCTGAATAATCATTACAGTACCTGTCTACCTCTCTACCTGCAGTCTGAACAGTCACTGCCCTACCTGTCTACCTGTTGTCTGAATAATCATTATAGTACCTGTCTACCTGCAGTCTGAACAGTCACTGCAGTACCTGTCTACCTGCTGTCTGAATAATCATTGCCCTACCTGTCTATCTGCTGTCTGAACAGTCACTGTAGTTCCTGTCTACCTGCTTTTAACACCTAGTCTTGAAATCAGAGGTGCTTCCAATCCAAATGCCCTCGCATTCACTGTGTTCCAAACAGTAAAGGCACAAGTGCAAACTATGTGGAAGTGTATTTAAACCCGAGAACAGGAGGCAACTACTTCTTTCAAAGGGGTTGCAGAGTCTGGAACAAGCTACCCAGCCATGCTGTTGAAGCCCAGACCCTGGTTTCTTTCTCTCTCTCAAAAAAAAAAAAGGAGCATGTTGAGATACTCGGATCAATAAGCTGCTAACTACCAATTGCAGTTTTTGCAGAATGGCTGCCTCTGGTTGGTCACTCTTCACATGCTCCTGTGTTCTTTCCAATGCAAAGGGCTGTGGCCGTGCTGAGCGCTGCCGGGGGCGGGGAGCAGGGACCCGGGACCCGGGACCCGGGACCCGGCCTCGTCTCCCCGTGTTTGCTTGACCACCGAAGACGAGCAGGGAGTAAGGGAGGCTGCGTCGAGTGCCTATTCAAACGCGCTCTCCACGGTGGTATTAGCATGCCTTTCATCGCGTCGCTGACAACGGGTTTGATCACCTGCTACTTTGAAGAAGGCACAGATTTTTTTTTTTAATTTCCTTCAGAAAAGAAAGAAAAAAGAGACAGAGAAGAAAAGATAATGAGGTTTGATTTTGTCAAATAAACCCGCCCCGGTTTTGCAGCCCCAGTCGTAAGGAAACAGGAGGAGGGTGGTTTGATATCGTTATGTTAATGATGCCATCAAACGGGCTGCGAGCACGCGAGCTCCAGACCACAGATCCCACGCGCCTGGGAATCTGCCCATTAACAGCCGATCCACGTTTCCTCATCGCGTACCTTCCTGGGATACATCCTCTTTCACTGAATACACTCATAAACAAGCTGTGCCTCGCTTAACTGCGATCCATCTAGCAGTTTTTGTAGATCCATTATTAATTGAGCCTCACGAGTTTTTAATTAAACGATATTTACCGGAAATAACGTAGGTGTGGGTGCTGGCAAAAAAAAAATTCCAACAATCACAAAATAACACCTCTGAACTATGATATAGACGGTTTGTATAACACAAATCTCATATATCGCTCTGAAAACGATCACATCTTTACAACTTTAAATTGCATGAACAATGCAAGGTTCTTTTTTTCGTGCAAGTCACTCCTGTGTTAAACAGCGACGCGGTGGAATCGCGACACCCGTACAGAAGACTCACTTTTTGTTTTCCACACCGCTACAGCAGTCTAACCCCCTGGAGCGGATGCGCTGGCTCCCCGGCTCGCAGGGGTCGTGCCCGCAACACAGCGCGTTCCCGTGCCAGCCCAGGCTGCTCGGGGCATCTACCCGGGGCCGCGCCTCTCCTTCAAGGTCACCTGCGCGCGAGCCGCCCCCTGCTCCGCGCGGCGACGGGCCGTCCCGAGGCGCCGCGGCGGAAACCGGTCGAATAAGATGTCTCGGACCGCATTTTTATTTGAATACAGGAGATCATTTCGCTCTCCCCGTTTAGGTCAGAGACTGTGGAAAGGTTTCTGATTTGTTTTCACGTCTCTTTGACGTGCTGTGAGGCCACGCGTTGCTGGTGTTATTAATCCCCCGCAGGGCTGTCTAATTAATGCCAATGGAGACCAATTTCTTCCCAGTGTGATTTGAACTGGCCAGTACCTTACGCGCAGCTTTAGGGAGGGCGCCTCCTGTAGGCGTGTTTGTTTGCTTTACTTTAAACTGGCCGAGAGTTGTGTCGTCTCGGCAGCTGGAGAAAATCCTTCTCGCACCCCGGGTAAAAAAAAAAACAGAAAAGGTTTGCCTCAGAAACGGAAAGCTGCTTGAAGTCGATAAGGGAAGAGGGAAGGTGCACTTTGTAAGAGAAACTTCAAGCCTCCCCCCCTGCCCGCCCATTAAGTGGTAATATTGCAGAAACTCACATGAAAACACCGGGGCTCGACACAGGCTGGCGAGGCTGGGCTCTGATATGCAAATACGCGGCGGAGCGCGGGGAGATCACAGGCGTGTCACACTCCCACAGACACACGCAGCAGGCACGGCCCTCAGTGCACCAGCTGACTGGCACTGAGACCCGACCCCCCCCCAGTAAATCACGGCCTGGAGGTAGATGGGAGGAAGGAGCAGGACAGGTGGCCGCAGATCCGCTTCAGTCAGGCCCGGGAAACAGACTCCCATTCATGTATCAAAGCTCCTCTCCCGTTTGATCTTCTTTCATGCGTTTTCCTTCTCCCGGTGCTGCTGTTGTTGTTAGTGGTTAGTTTTCAGTTGTTTTGCTGTTTTTTTTTTTTTTTTTTTCGGCTTCGTTGTGCGGATGCGTGCTCGCTTTTACGAAATCGGGCTGTCCATTCACACAGTGTGTGGGGAGGAGAGGTAATTCTGAGGGCCGTGTTTGTGCGTGGCCAGGTTTTGAGTCTTCTGGCGCAGCTCAGGGGCTGCGAGGAAAGAAAAAGGCTCTTTGCTGGATTCGTGTTGTAAGATCGGTGCATTGCTTTGTCTTAAAACCGTACAAGTGCAGGACATGCCCGCTAATGTAAACATACCCATCACTGAATCCCGTCTTACCATTGGTTTAAAATGATCGCCAGGCAGATCTTATCTCATACAGTTACAGTTTAATAGGATTTATACAGTACAGCTTCGGAAAAAAAAACAACCTTTATAACTGTTCCACTGATTAATATTAACAATCTATGTTACCTGCGTAGTACATTTTATATTTGGTATTAATATTATTAAAGTACATTTCAGTGACTTTCCCATATGATAAATAAAATGGAATTTTATATACAAAAAACCTGTATATTAACAGTTAAATTAACATTTTTCATCATCTGAAAGCAGTCTGGCAGTCAGTTCTTCTGTCGCCCACATGTGAAAAGCAGATGACAATATAAATGTAATTTTACACTGTTTTTTAGGTTTCTTGATGCAATTAATAACAGGAATCTTAAGTGGTCTCTCCTTCTACGGCCCTTCGACTGCCAAACACTATTTCTAATCATAGAATATAAGCACTGTGCTAGCAGATGGTGGGTAACCTTTGAGACTGTAGCATTGCCACCTTGTAACCTGATCTTTTCAGATCTTAGTGGCTCAGCAAGACTGGTCCTGGTGATGGCACGAGTAAGAGATCCCCAAGAAAACCAGCTTGCTGCCTAAAGTTCGGTTGATGGACCAGTAAGTGGCGCTCTTCCTCCAGAGCTAGAATTTGTCAGCCACTGCCTGACTGTGGTGACCGCCAACACTGTTGTAGGAGGTGCGGACTCTCAGAGGAGACATCAAGGTCAGAGATTCTGACCACTGGGTCATTGAAGATCCTGTGGCACGGGGTGTAGAGTGGGGGTGTAATCCCAGTGTTTTGACTAAATTTCACACAGTGCTTGCATGATCCTGCCTGACCTTATTTCAAGTGGTGACATCATTTCTCACTCGTCCACCCAGTCTGCTGGGCTTTGGGCTATTTCTGGGGGATGATCAGCCGCATAGAAATGTAAGGAATTGACTGTTCTACTGTTTGCAGACTTTTAAGGGTACCCCGTCCCATGGATAAATTCTTTGCGTAACTATCGAGGCTAAAGACACATGATTAACCAGATTAAAGGGAGTTAAAAGCAAAGGATCATTTGCATGGGAAGCCCTTTTTATCACTTACCCTCTCCTTGGTAAATGTCACTGTCTAAATCCAGCGTGTTGAAGAAAATAAAATAAACAACTATTTGGAAAGCAACACCCACATCTTAAAGTAAGTAAACAAGTCAAACAAGAGGAAGTAGATGGGCGGTTTCGCCCTGTCCCCTGTTCCCTGATTGGTTAATCATTGGTTCCTCTGGATATGCCGTCCAATGAAAAAGAAGAGCAGCCCAGCGAGGAGGACCAATGGGATCCCTGCGGCAGCAAACAGGAAGGACCAGCCGTAGTGGGCGATGACCCTGGCGGCGGGGCAGCCCTCGCTGCGCTCCAGCAGGATGTAGCGTGGCACGTCCGCCACCAGCTCCTTCCACAGGGCGAAGAGAGAGAGCAGCACCAGGAACAGGCTACCTGCGGGACAGACACGCAGCTGGCGTGGGCAGGGACGGGGGCACCTCTGCATGTTTCCCTCAGCCCCGAAACACAAAAGACATCACTGCTCTGCAGTCAGGCCAGAGAGGAGCGGCCCGATGCATTCTGGGACCACAGGGGAAGTCCTACGCTGACAGGCGGAAGTAACTGAGAGTCCTCAAGGGCATCCAAACCCCAGCAGACAGAGAAACCTGAACCATAGGACACAACAAGTGGAAACTACAGGGAAGAGCATTTAAAAGTGAGATCAGGAGTCACTTCTTTATTCTAAGGGTTGTAGGAGTATGGAACGAGCAACCCAGACGTGTGGTTTGCTTCTGTCAAGGGACAGCTGGGTGAGATCCTTGGATCAATTATGTATTGATTACCAGATGGGTCAGAAGGGCCAAATGGCCCCCTCTTGTGGGCAGTCTTATGTCCACCCGCGGCACACAGTCCCCCTGTGCTACCGGTCTCTTTAAATCACAGCCTGCTTCACACTGGGGAGAAGGGCCAGATTTTCGTTCTGTGGAAAAATGTGCAGCAATCAACAAGCCAAGAGCCCGCTTGGCCCCCTGAGGTCCTTGTTAAAACAACAACGCTGCACGCGACCTGTTCAAACGTTTAGCACAGGAGCAGGAATGAGAAACAAAAACAAAAAATCCAAACTTTGGTTATCAGAGATGATGAAACTCTTGTCCGGCATTGGACTGCCCTGCAAGAACTTATGCAAAAGCCGCGGCCTCTTCAGTGGCACAGCGAGAAACTCCCATTTCATGCCCCCTCTTCCCCGCTGGCACTGTAGCTCTGTCACTCAGTTTTAAGGTGCCTTTAGAAAGCTTCTTTCCAGTAGCAGAGGGTAAAAAGGGATGTTATATGTTTCAGAAGTATTTTGATCATTGAATTGCAGCATGTAAACATTCCGGTTTTACTTCCAATTTAGTGAATTTCAGTTGAACACGACTAATTAGATCTGATCCCTGTAAGCGGTGTCTTCCCACAATGGGTCAGTTGTGGCAGGGGCTCTGGACACACCGAGGGCAGAACGCCGTGTCAGGTCTCGCTGTCCGCTGGGGCTCTCGCCCTGGGCAGCTGTTAGCGGTGCTCCCCACAGACTGGGCGGGAGAGCCGGGCTGTACAGATTCCACTCCAGCAGAAAGGCACCTGGCTTTCCCAGCCTCGAGGTCTGGGCTGAGCTGCCTCTTTCTAGGCCTGTGGTCTCAGCTTGGCGCAGGCGTGTTGTGAGCTGAGTGAAAACTATTCACAGGGTGGGCTGACAGTTAAATATATTTGGGGCTATATTCTCCATTGCATAAACACACACACGTTGTAAATACACACACACAGTTCGTGCATGGTGCATGTGAGTGTGTTTGGGTGTGCACTCGTATTTATAGACTGCCGCGCAGTTGCCGGCGCTGGGAATGAACGGGAGGCTCATTCACAGATCTGCTTTTTATAGCTCGGCCCCAGGCAGGCAGTTCCTCACAGCCCTGGCAGAGACACAGCCAGAGGGGCGCTCAGAGCAGGCCTGAGCTGTGGCTGTCTCCAGGCCTGCATGAAGCAGCTGTCCCCGGGCCTGGCTGTAGCCCCTGTCACGCCAGCTGCCCCTTATTGATAGATATTGTGCCTGGCTTGAGCACCTTGACCCTGTTACTCTCAATTTCCGTGAGCAGGTTGCGCCCTGTACCCCGAGCTGCACACACATGAATACACGCTCTCAATCTGCCTTGCTCTTTTTTCTCTCGTCAGGCTCGGGGAACAGGAAAGGATCTGGAAGAACTCGAAGGGAGAGTCCAGCAGCCACAAGCAGTCCCAGACCTGGAGGGCCACCTGGAGCTGCTTTTATTCCTCTGCTTTCGAGCATTTGTTGGTGCACGGTCGTCCCTGGCTCTAGTCAGCATCAATACGATGAGGACCGAAGGGGATTTGGCAGGAGGTCAGGCACTTACCGGCTGTGATCAGGAAGCCCCCCCCCAGCCTGTAGAGCTTGGCGCTCACGAAGGGCACGGCGCACACCAGGAGGAACCCCCCTGCCAGGCAGCAGACCACCGCCAGGACGATGAACACGGTCCAGAAGCCCCGGAACACTGCGGAGGCGCGCGGCCAGAAAACACAGAGCACAGCGCCGTCAGGCTTAGTAATGGAGCGTCACAGAGCTGCAGCTTGGCTATGGGGGGGCGTCACTGCAACAGGAAGGGAGGGTGTATACATCTGCGTGTTCGGAGTGCCGCTCGGTCATGTCACAGGACCAAGACCTCAGATCAGGTCGGCCCTGGCCGTCAAAAACACCTTGAGTGTTAAATGCAAGGAGCTTGTCTTGAATGTGTCTTAAACTCCGAAGAATCCTGGAGGGGAAAGCTGTCTTAGGGCGTCTGTGTAACTGGTCAACCAGAGGATCAGACGATCAGAGCGACACAAGAGCATCAGAGGCCAAACCGAGCCGCGTGCTGCTGTCTGCTGCAGTTGCTGTCTGGGACTCTGTTTCCAATCTTTTCTTTCCTGTGGGCTTCTTCATTCATTGCTTACCTGTGATTTAGCTGTCTGGGACACAGCTGCCACAGTATGGCAAACACCAAGTCTGCTCCTTGGTGGCAGAAACTGTGAGGTTCCAGCACAAAGCTGGGCGGGGGGGAATGAAAAAGTCCTAACAGAGGAGGACAGAGCTACAGCAATCCTTTACATCCCCCTAGACTCATTCCTGACTTGCCGAGAGAGGATAACCCAACCCAATCATTCCCATTCTGAGGCTGGTTGACTGAGAGAGGGCTCACCTGCTGTGGCATCGTAGGAGGGGTGTGGAACTGGCCCGATCGCAATGGGCAGAGGAAAGAGGTACCCATGAACGCAGAACTTGTGTGGAGGCTGATTAGCTGCAATTACAGAGAGGCCTGTGTCAGCGGTTGGCTACAGTAGATTATTAAACAACTGGTTCACCATGAACTGTTGGATGTTAGTCTTTCTATCCGTAAGGATGTGATTGGCATCTTTCAGGTGAAACACCAGCTATCGTAAAGAGCGCTGATGGGCACAGGGCATCTGGTCGTGATTTGCAGTAGCCGAAGCAGCAAAATGTCTGTACCTTAGTGTTATTTCAAGGATAATTTTAACATTCACATTACAAAACAGTCTGTGCATTCAGAGCATCGAGGCCGCCTCTATGTCCCTCTGTCTGTCTGGCTGTCTGTCTCCCCTGGTGGGAGTGCGTGCAGCGCTGAGACTCACTGAAGAGGAAGGCCCAGAAGGTGTGCCAGGAGCTGTCCTCTCTGAACCAGCAGCGCCAGAAGAAGCCCTCGTGGTGGAAGATGAGAGCAGAGACAGTGTCTGTTCCCGTCGTTGTGACCTTCTCTGTTACTGTCCGGTTTTCGGCCTGGGAGAGAAGGGGGCGCAGAGACTGGTGAGCATTAACACAGAACTGGTGAGCATTAACACAGAACTGGTGAGCATTAAAACAAAACTGGTGAGCATTAACACAGGACCCCCAGTAATCTTGGGTGTGGCTCTGTGAGGCAGGGGGCTGCACTGAGTCCCCTGTGGCCTCCATCCCCTGCACTGTAACATCCTGACTGCCTTCTGTGTGTCCTGTATATGTCACCCACAAACCTGCAGAAACAAGTGCTGTGTCTGTGCTGTTCCATTCTGGCTGCTCCCTCAGCTCTCTGCTTCATCACACTGTACCATCGCTCTGTCTCAGCCAGGGGAGCAGCGCAGCCTACTGGCCACTGTAGAGAAGTGTGTAAGTGACGGGCAGCGGTAACTTTTATTTGCGATTGTAAAGTTGAGCACAGTTCTCTTTATGCACAGTGGCTGGTGATAATCTGGACCGTCCTTTGCAGTGCAGCATGACCCCAAGCCAATGATAAGCAGAGCCCTGGTCATCATAGCTATATACGGCTCTGACAGGCTCTGGCTCACTCCTGCTTGTTGATGGGAAATGTGAATCATCACTGAGCATGCCACTGTGATAATGATCCTCGCTGCTCACTAGTTCCAGTCCGGCACTGTCTTCTTCCTCAAAGAGGAAGTGGCTGCCAGCTGGGAGACTCTGATGAATCTGGGTCACAGTGACAGCTTCCCTCAACACCACACGGAGGAGGGAATTAGTGTAATGAAAATTGTGGAGAAGTACAGAGAGAGAGGGTGTATACACCAGCCCTGCTGTACAGATTGCCTCTCACTGTGCTGCTCCTGGGAGCGCCCGGGCTTTCTGATGTTTTCATGGTGTCTAGCCAGATGAGATTTGGCAGGGAGCATCTGTCTTGATTAAAAAACTTTTCGCAGGCAGAGCCAGAACGCCTGTTGAGCTGGTCTTGTATCCTGTCAGAGCTCTTTTCCCCTAAGGCTCAGTTAGTCTCATGCTTCAGCGGGGACCCACTGCAGACAAGTGCAGTAGACTTTGATTTACTCCTTCATTTGCCTGGCCCAGGGGCACCCCTGCTGCGCGCGGGGGCCTGTCGTCCAGGGGCGTCCTTAAAAGAGGACCAGCAATACAGACAACTGAAAATTCCCGTCAATAGAAAGTGCCGTCACTCCTATAAAGGAGAACGCGTTCATGCAAACCTAGAACGGAGACATCTGCGTTCTGATCCGTCTTGAAATCCATGCTTTGACATCAACATCTGGGTTAATCTGCTGATCTGCTGTCATATGCAGTTCTCTCTGGTCAAGACTCTTCTCCATCATAGAGGTGACCACTGACTGACCACATGAGAGCTTCTTTTAACCATACTGTCCCTTTGCACTGCGTTCAGCTCCAGTGGAGCCATAGAGAGGGAGGCGGTTGATAGGATGAATTTGATCCTCTCTCTTTGTTGCAAGCGTGGAAAATGGAGGTATTGCAATAACAATTGTACAGTACTTTCAGTTCAGGCAGTGGCACGGTCTGCTGAATGACATATTCGCTCGTTTTAAAACTTTGCGGCAGGTATGGGAATGTGTGTGTGGGAAGGGTGTGGCAGCAAATCTAGCTACTTCCTCGCTTAAAATAATCCCTCCATCCACTTGTTCCCCAGTCTGTCCGCCCATCGGGTACCTGGGTTGTGCTGGAATTCCAAGAGGCCAGGTGTTTGTGCTGGGTCTGGGTCACCTCATTGTTTGTGTTTGGAGTGGGTGTCTGTGTTCTCTGTAAGACAGTCTTCTGGCTGAAAGGCTGAAAGTAATGATCAATTACTGAACAGCAGCCCATTTGTTTTATTTTCAGTATTTAGTAATCCGATCATCCTGATGCCACAAATCACTGACCGGCAGCTACAAGACTGTTATAACTCAGGATATTGCAAGAGTGCTATTTTTTTGTGCGATTTACTTAGGTTTGCTCACAGAGGCTACTGACATAAGTAAATCCTGGTAGAAAGTTTTCTAAAAGGCCGGCCCTGGTGTGGAGCACAGTTAATAGCAGCGGGCTGCCGAGCATTGTGCGACGCTGATTTGGGTCCCCCCGGCAACCACCTACTGTAGCAATCAGCTGCGTGGGGCCCCTTTCTCAAGAAATCGTCTCTCTGCTGGTTGTTACCCGTCCTGTTGTGACGAACGCCGCTCAGGAAAAGCCCAGGTGCCAATCCCACACCAGTGATGTGCTACAGCAGGCCGGGGAAGTCACAGACTGTCTGGGCTTCTCACAACAGCCACCCAATCCTGAGGCAGACCCCTGAAGCAGATCTGTTTGCGCCTT